AACCCCCGCCTCCAGCCGCCCGCCCACAGCCACCGAGAAACCCCACCCTCTGTCTCCACCTGGGGGTTGGGGTGGGGAATGAGTACCCTCCCCTCACTGACACTCCGACTGCTGTCCCCTGCTCCTTGCAGGGACTCAAGGGCCCATACCCTAAAATTATTTCCGGGAACCCCAATATCTCTTCCCCAGGCTATTCTTTTTCTAAGACCCAGACGTCCAATCATAGTCTCCCCGTCAAGTTCCCTCCCTCTTGGGGGCCCAGAGCCCCCTTTCGGCAGAGTCCTGGGCGGGATTTAGGGTACAGTGGAGAGAGGCGGGGCTGGGGGGTCGCTACCCCCCCCCACCAGGTCTCCATAATTACTTCCCCCGCCCCGCCCTATGTAATTACAGAGCAGCCCCGGGCCCGGGGTATTTATAGACTAGGCTATAGATAGCAGCTTGAGAGACCTGCAACTCGATGGCCTGAAAGGGGCGGGGGCGGGGAGGGGGATAGAGGAGAGGCAGAGGCAGCCAGAGTTGAGGACAGAGACTGGACAGACAGACCAACAGGTTAATCAGGTCCCAGGAGATGAAATGGGAGGGGTGCGGAGAGACAGGTAAGGGAGTCCGGGAACCCAGGTGAAAAGGGACTAGTCAATGCTAGTTAGATGTCTGGGGAAACGAGGTCACTCAAGGACGAGGCCGCCTCCAGGTGGGCAACGCCTGAGAAGTCTGCGGCGCCCAGCAAGTCCCACGAACGGGCACAGTGCCGGGTCTGCGCGCGGCTCCTGTCTTGGAGACAGGAGCAAGACGAGGCGCCGCCGCCCGCTGGCGCTAGGAGGGCGCAAGCGAACAAGGCGCCTTTGAGAATCAGCAGCCCCCCTTTCTCCTCCCGTGGGCCCCGCCCCTAGCCTGGCACACCCCCTTCCCCCCTCCCCGACAAAGCGCGCCTTGTGTCCCCCACCCTGTGCCCGCCCCTCAGGCTCCAGGGAACCTTAGCGGCGGTGGTGGCATCAAGGGAGCGCACGTCCCTACCGGATACCACCCCCCCACACCCAGCCCGATGCAGCGCTGTCCACCCTTCAACAGAGTCACCTCAGTCCAGAAAAGAGATTTTAATTTGAAAGCAATTTTATACGCAAGTAAAAGAGGGGAAAGAAACCCCAGAGCGAGCTGCAAGGCAAAAATCATGCAGCCCCAGCACCCCATCTCTGTGGGATGGCCCTTTCCCCCTCAATTCTCAGGCCAGGGTCCTGTGTCCCCAGCCTACACTGTGTGCACTCAAGGCTGGGGGAGAGCTGTGAAGGGAACGGCCTGAGGACTATTCAACAAACCATCCCCTGAAAAGGCCCTGCCATCACAGCCCAGGCCCCTTCCCCAAGATAGACAGGAAGGGATGGCAGGAGGAGGTTGAGAAGGCCAGTGCTTGAAAAGCTCCAGGGACAGACCATCTTGGGACTCTGCCTTTCCCAAACACCACCTCCACCACTGGCATTTCTTAGTCAACCTGGGAAAGTACAGTACTTCTTTGAGTCTAACTGCAGGTCTCAATCTTCAGAGAAAATTAAAAATAGCAGATGGGTTCCTACATTTCCACCCACCCCTTAACCATCACCACCTTATTTTTTAGTCTGACTGCAGAAGGTGAAGTATAAGAGGGGACTCTGGACAGGAGGCAGTTACAGGGTCCCCTCCGTCTTCCAGAGTAGCCCCATCTGCCAAGCTTGGTTTGAGGAAAGTCTGCAAAAGCCCTATCCCCATGTCCATCAGTTCAGGGGGCCTGCCCCCCAATATCTATCTCTGGGGGAGTTCTCATATCCGCTCTTTAGACGGGGAGCTAAGTGAGGCAAGATGAGAAGGAAGCAAGGTTCTGGGAGCAACGGCCAGTGCTGTGTTGGGGAAGATCAGTCCAGGCAGTGGGCAAGAACTTACCCTGTATCATGGCAGACACAGACAAATTCAGAGACTAGAGGCCACTGAAGGGAGAGGTCCAGCCCTCACAGGGATCTGAGATCCCCTCTGACTTGGGATATCAAGCAAACCCCTTGGAGGGTTGATGGACCCCACTGGAGGTCTCAGCTCTGCCCTATAGTCCTCACCCCACCAAGACTCTTAAAAACAAGGCCCCTCCCAACCCTGCCCCAAGGCGTGGAGTCCCTCCTGGATATGCATTCCTCAAGTGTGAGAAGCGCCACATCTGAGTCTGGGCTCAGGCCAGCTGGTGGGGTGCCTCGAGCATCTCCATGAGGAAGGTGTCAATGGGGGTGTCACCAATGAGCTTGAAGAAAAACAGATGCTCTAGACATTTAAGGCCAATGGACCTGAGGGCAGGAAGACGTAGCAGCAGCTTGGCAAACCTGAGGTGGGGGAAGGAGAAGTGGGATGAAAACTAGAACCACATATAGGCCCTGAACACATACACCTCTGTGCCTTCCACCCAGGGGAGCCTCGGTCCCCATGACTCCTCAGCCCCACAGCTTTCTCACCGTCCCTGCTGCTCAGGGTACTTCTGTTTGCAATAGGTTTCCAGTGATGCATACACTTTCTCCCGAAGGACCTCTACCTCACTGGGATTGGAAAGACCCTTGGCATCTAGAATAGCAGGAAAAGGAAAGCAAATCAAAAAAGAACAAGCAGGGAGATGTGGCCCACATGATGCCTTTTTTGGGCCCCATCTACTTGCCCTTTTCCAGATGCCTAGCAAGGACAGCAGGGCATGTTGGGTTTGTGGGATGGGATCAAAAGGGGAATGTATCACTGGATGTGTGTTCTAGGTCAGGTGGGAGATTTCCCAGCTGCGGGTCTTACTAAAAGGAATAGCTGGGTAACTTAGGAGGCTCCAAAGAAGAGGAGGCTCTAAGGTTGCCTTGGTCTTGAGAGATGGGGTAACCTCCTCTTACCTGGATTGAACAGAATGATTGCCCTCAGGCAGCCAAGCTCTGTCTTGTCCATCCTCATGTCACGCATTTTGGACACTAGCTCTGTCAGCACCCTGGAGAGGGACCTGCAGGTCACTCAAAGGTCACAGCTCAGCCAGCCTTGGACACGGACCAGTCTATAGTCCCACCCCCTCTACCTATAGGCCAGCCCAGTGGAGGGCCACTGACCGATCAAAGATGGCTCCCACGCCTGCAGAATGAGCTGAGTTGCGGTGCACGTGAAGACCTGTGGCAAGGAGGATGCCATCTCGTACATCAATGGATCGGTGGGAGAAGGAGGCAATGAGGAGCTCATTCCAGCCTGGGTGGGAAGCAGCAAGGGTTAGGTGCCAGAGACAAGGTCATGGGATTCAAAGCACACCAGGGAAAGAAAAGTGGCAAGGTCAATGAGCTTGGCTCCTTGAGTATGCAAGTGTGCACTGGGGTCACTGAGGTCAGGTCAAAGAGGAATCAAATTTCAAGAGGTCAAAGGGATCCAAGATCACTGACCTGCCCGTAGCAATATGACCTGGTCATCCAGAGGCAAGGAAGAAAAGTGTGGGATCCTCTTCGCCCACTCAACAAGTGTGAATAGCTGTTTGTCAGCTGCCTGACAGATGTTAGTCACAGGGTCATTTGGCTGCAGGGGACGGGAGATAAGAGTTATGGGAGGTTTGTAGGTACACTGGGAGCCCCCCACCCCGCCATTTGTAAGAAGCTTTTGGCACCCCCTCCTACTACAGTCTCTCTTCAAACCCCATCTGAACCAATCCCTGTAAATCAAGCTTTTCTTCTGGCATTTCTGAAAACATTTAATTGGGACCTGCCTGTGGTTCTGCCAACCAGTGCGTTGTTTTGGGGATGGGGACAGAGAAAACTATCACACCCACCTCAGATGTTTGAGAGGCCTTGTTTGGCAGCACTTCCAGTCCCAGAGTGATAGGAAGGTTGTGAGGGGAAGGGAAAGGAGGGGGAGACAGAATAGACCTAGGCTTCCACCCCCAAACCCCCATCAGGAAGGAGAGCAGATTGACCCCATCACTCACGCTGCTGCCGCTACCCCCGGTTCCCCCAGGACCCTCAACGCCCTGGTCACTCTTCTGCTCCACAGCAAGCTCTGCCTCCAGGATCCTGTCCACAGGCATCTCCTCGGGGGCTCCCCCGGCCCCCTCCCCATCCCCATCCTTGTCTTTCCCCCGCTGACGCTCCTCCTGTACCGCTGGAGGAGAAAAAGTGGAAAGTCAGCAGCCAGCCCATGAGGAGGTTCCAAAATATCTTTAGGATGTATCAGGATCATGGCCCTTAAGAACTGTTTATAAGAATTAAGGAAGTCACTAAAAATAATGGTGGACTGGGGACATTCTGGAAGCAAGAGTTACAATAGGACACAAACGTAAGCCAATAAAGAGGAGAGTAAAAGAATTAAGGAGAAAACTAACATTTAATTGGGAGTCTACTACACACTAAGAAATGTGCCAAGCACATTGTAATGTTCACTCAAACAACCCTGTGATGCTCTTATTTTCATTTTTAAAAATAAAGAATCTAGGGCTTGGAGAAGCTAAATAGCTTGCCCAAGTTCACATAACACATGGTAAGTCATACAACTGAAACGAAGTATGCCTAACTGCAAATCTTGTGCTCTTCTGACTTAAGGAGACAGTATAATGGGCACTGGCCTGGGTCTTCAGAGATGCAAGTTCTGATCCCAGCCTTGCTACTATTTCATTGCATGACCCTGGGAAAACTAGGCCTCAGGCTCATCTTCTCTAAAATGAGAGATTTCATCAAGATATTCTCTCAGAATTCCAGGATCAGACTAAAGAAAATAAGACAGAAATAAAAAAGAGGGAAGGCAGCCCTGAGGTTTTCAGTAAAGTCTATAGTTTATAGGAGAAGAATCCCAGAGTTTGGAGGAGAAACCAGAGAGGGAGTACTGGGTCAGAAAGGAGGAACTATTCAGGTTAGAGAAAGGACATAGACGAGCCTGACATGGGTCAGAAAAGTTATCCTAGACTAGGCAGGGATCACAGATGCAGGCCACAGAGGCAGAACTATTAAGAAGGAAACCCGAGGGACCAGATCAGGGTACCAGAGATAAAGATAGGGGAGAGAAATCAAACGTTACCCTCTGGAGGAGAGAGAGAGAGCGGTGCAGCTCTCCTGAGAGGTATATCTGTGGTTTCCTGCCGTTTACCCTTTGTCCTCCCTCCTCTCCCATAGAGTAGACTGGGAAGCCTGGGGGGAAGAGGGTGGGGCAGGCCCTTACCTTCCCTCTTCATACCAGTAGCCAGGCACTTCTGATAGCGGCAGTACTGACAGCGGTTCCGCTGACGCTTATCCACCGTGCAGTCTTTGTTGTCCCGGCATGAGTAGGTCAGGTCCTTACGAATGGTGCGCTTGAAAAAGCCTTTGCAGCCCTCACAACTGTAAACTCCATAGTGTTTGCCTACAGGAGAGCAATAGAAGGAGAGGCTGCATGGAAACCTCTCACCATTGTCTCCTGTCAATCGCCCTCTAGCAAACTTAAAAGTTTAAGTCCACTCTGCCAAATACAGAGCCTGGGAACTAGGACATAAGAGATGATCCAATCCCACTCTTCCCTCTGACCAACCCCCATCCCATATCTGAGCATCAGGTTCTTTAGCTCTCACCCAGCCTCCCTTAGTTCACTTGCTCCAACACAACCCCATGAGCCGCTGGGAATCCCACAGGGCATGGTAAATGGCAGACTCTCTCTTCCTCTCTGCTGGTCTCGAGCCCCATACCTGAGCTTCGGTCCCCGCAGATTGCACATAGCCGTTTGCCAGCCCCAGGGCCACCTGGAGGGGGTGGACAGTGCAGGCCCCGGACCCCTAAGACTGGTGGCTTCACATCTTCAGGGGGGCCAGACCCACCCCCAGGGAGCGACACTGTTGAGTTAATCTGGGATAGGGGAAATAGGGAAGTCATGGGGAGAATCATTGGGAAGAGAATCTCTCAGAGGTGATGGAAATCATGCTCTGACATCTAGGCAGAGCCGTGCACTGCACATCCCAGAGGGCATTATTATACTGCAGTCTATATGAAGGGCCAGCCCTGGAGCACAACCCAGAGATTAGACATACAGTTTCCCTGAAACTGTGCAACACAGTAACCCTAAAAAGCATGTATCTCAGAAGGGCAGATGGGACCAAAAGGGCAGAAAATCACTGATAGATGAAAAGGACATCAGGAATATCAGGGTCCTTTTATAGGGCTGAGGAGGAAGCATGCACTGAAAGAAGAGATTTCAGGAAGGGCAAGGGGGTCTCACAAGGACCACAGGCCTGCCAGGATTAGAGGTCTAGAAGGTCAGTGGGCCATGGGGAAGTTCACACAAAGATCTGGGGTCACAAGAAAAACAAGGAAATGCAAGTGGAGAGGCAGTAAGTGGGTCACAACCTCTCACCTGGGGACTGCTGACAGGCCCGGAGAATCCTGGGGGAGCTGGAGGGGGCAGACCAGGGGACCCCATGGAAGAGCTGATAACTGGGAAGGGGGAGCTCAGTGGGGGTGGTGGCATTGGGGGTGGGGGTGGCGCCCCAGAGCCTCCAAGGGATGGGGCTGCTGAAGGGGGTAGGGGTGGCCCAGGAGAATGGGGAGGAGCACCCTGGGGAAGGGGATTTGGGGAGGAACTGTCTGGGCTTCCGGAATCTAAGGGAAGGGTACACAGAGGTACAGACACACACAGACAGGAGAGACAAAAAGAAAAAATGAGTCCTCGATTGTCCAACTGAAGACTTTCTCTAATCCTCCATTGCACCCCAACACACCCACTACACTCACCACACCCACCCCCATCCCCAAGCCCATACACTGGGCTGTCTGTCGCGCAACAGTTTAACTCCCAATCGTAGTGACAGGAGGCGGGTGACAAAGGAGAATAGTTCAGGTGCAGAAAAATTTCAAGCATTGTATTTGATCACCCCAAGCCATACGCCCAAGCCAGTCTCGTGTGGGTGGGGCAACACGTGGGGTGGACTCTCCATTCCCAGCTTGTGCCCGGAGCGTGCAGAGAAAAGAAACAGAAGAGACCCCTCTTATGACGCAGGGCCTGTTTCCACAAGTCAGAATCCTCAAACTCGAGGACTCGTGTCTCACACCCGGGAGCTCCGGTGCGCAGGACCTCAAGCAGCCTAGACTAAGAGGGCGGAAGCTTCCCCTCCCTCCCCGCCCCGCCGCGGGAGGAGGGCGCTAAGGCCCTCGGGAGGGAGGGGACGCGTGTTTACAAACAAGGGGGCGGGAGCGCCA